TTTTCTATGGCATGACAGGTTCGGGTTAGACATCTACTGGTGGTGAAGCCCTTGGAGGAAATATATCCTGTCTGGGAAGGTGAACCCCGACGTGTAGACGTCGATATAAAGATGCATAACATGATATGCGATATTCTGGATGGAAGCTTGGATGAGGGGTTCTGGGAATCTCCCAAAAACGTAGGTGGCGATACAACAGGTGGCGCTTCAACAGTTCAGACGCCGAAACAGTCGAAGACGAAGTTGGAAACTCCACGCGTGGAGAAGAAAAAGAAAGAGAAGGTGAAAGAGGCTGAAGCAACGGATTCAACTCCGAGAAGCAAAAGGAGAAGGGAAAGAGAGGCAAGGAAAGAAGAGAAGGAGAAAAAGAAACGTAAGAAGGAGGATGAGGAAGAAGATGATGATTTTAACTCGCCGGTGAAGCTACTAAAGGATGCAATTGAAGAAAAGAGAAAGGAGAAAAGGGAAAGAAAGGAAAGAAAAGAAAGAAAGGAGAAGGAAAGAGAGAAGGAAAGAGAGGAGCAGGAGAGAGAGAAGCAAAGAGAGAACGAGAGCAAGAAGAAAGAGCCCGCTGTGGAGAAGGAGGATAGGACGAATGAGATCCTCATGGCAATCAATGGTTTATCAACGACGGTAGCATTGCTAAACAACAATGTCAGCAGTGCTGTAATTCGTATAGACCACCTGGATAAGAGGATTGCCGTTATCGAGGATAAACATGAAGAGAAAGAGGAGGCCATGGCGAATTCTGGGAACAATGTTGACAACGACCATGGTAACAATGATGATAATGCCGGTGATGCAGAATCCAAAACCTCACCGAAAACCCCAAGAGCAAAGGCATCTCCTCCAGCAGCAGCGCCAATAGCAGGAACGTCAACGGGAGGTGGAGCAGGAACGGGAACGGGAGCTGTGGAAAAGGATCCGGTACGCAAGTCTCTCTTCTAATGTCATGGAGACAACATTCAACTATGTTTAAACAGATCGTTTTCCTTTCCTTTATGGTAGATTTGTACGAAATACTTTTTTACTTTGGTAGACTTGTATTGATGATTTTTTTAAAACTTTTCCTGCATAGTAGACTTTTAATATTTTCTTGGAATACAAGACTAACTTTATGTGGTAGATTTTTGGCAGTGATATTTATATTAGGTAGATTTATAATTAATTCGGTAGATTTTTAGGTAGATTTAGTTATGTTATTATTTGGTTTGACTGATGTGAAATTACTATACATGCCAAGCAGTCGTGGATGATGGAGATGCAGGAAACATCAGAGCCAGGTTTTCCTGTTGCAAGAGTTGTTAGAACCCCAGCGTCGAGAGGAAAGACTGTAACCAAAGTGAAAAAAGAACCTGCTGATCCTAAAGAGAAGAATAAATCAGGCACAAAGTCAAAAGCTGATTTAAAAGACAAAAACGAAGAAAGCCAGATAATCAATATAAGCGACGTTTCACGCCCACTACAGTCTAGACGAGTACAGATCCCTTCCCTGCAAGACGAAGACGACTCAGCGATTGAAGCTATGAAGAAACGCTTAGAAAAGCTGGTGGAACATGCAAAAAATCCACCTGCTGAGAAGGAAAAAAGGGGACGCAGCCTTGCACCGACCCAGGTTTCACCCTACCTTGGTAACTCAGTGGTGAGACGCATCATGGACCCAGCAGGTCCCCCTCCTGGGAGGTATGATCCTTTTGAAGCGGTGGACAGTCGAATACTGGATAATCTAACCCGCTACGTAGCTTTTGAAGCGTAAGTCAGTTTTAAATTTCCATGGTAGACTTACTTGTTTGATTTGGTAGACCTATTTGTTTTATATAGTAGACTTATTAGGTATGTTGGTAGACTTACTTCGGAGTCTGGTATGTCTATGTCATTTTTCAGGGAAAAACAGTTGGAGTGTCCATATGCAGGAGGAGAATTTTACCTGACACTAATGACCCCTAAAGAAAGCTGGCCTAGAAAGGAGTATGGGTGGTTGCATGATCAGGTATGTGGTCGTATAAGTCACCCGATCTTAGTTTCAAAAGGTTTGGTAGACTTTGGAAATTGTTTGGTAGACTTTGGAAACTTAATGATAGACTTATAAAAATTTGGTTGTAAAGCTGGTTGGTAGACTTATATAAATTTGTTTCATTACCTAATGCAGCATATCGTAAAAGGATTAGACATGTTCCGGCAACGGTCTATGCGGTATCCATCTCCTTACAAAGGGGGAAGAGTTGCTTTCCTTGATCCTATCTTTTGTCGAGTTTGGTGTGGAGACTATCGAAACAAATTTCTACCAAACGAGAAGAGTTGGCTATTCAGTGATGGTTATTTGGACGTTGCCAACGGTCACTACGACCATTACTTGCCTACACACAAGAAATGGGGGACAGATGTTGATTTCGTGTATATCGCCCACAACGTGAACAACGAACATTGGGTAGCCGTTGAGGTCGACATTCCCAAAAAAAAGATCCGAGTGTTTGATTGCATTCCAGATTTATACAGAAAAGGCGAGGTGGAGGAGTCTGTGAAGCCCTACGCGAGGATGATTCCGCTGTTGTTGAAACATATGGCACCACCGGAGCTCAAGAAGGGTATGAAGGAGGGGCAGTTTCATATCTACATGTATAAAACAGCGGCACTAAACAGACAGACATGTGCAATGCAGCTCTGTAGATTTGGTATTTTTATTTGGTAGACTTTTAACTAATTATCGGGTACTTGTTATCAGGTGATTGTGGCGTCTTTACTTTGAAGACCATCGAGTGTTTGGCTTTGTGCCATAAATGGGACCAGCTGAAAGATAGCAACATGCCTCTCATTCGTATGAAATACGCAGCTGAGATTTTTGATGAGGTACATGAAGCAGAAGAATCCCGGATGTCTGATCCTAACCCTCGAAGTTTATTTGATGACAAGTACGGTTTACAGACAGACTCCGCTAACTGAGATCTTCGTTTGGTAGACCTTTGGGATCTGAGATCGTTTTTTGGTAGATTTAATACTCAGATCCAAACTAATTGGTAGACATTTGGTATCGGATGTTGTATTTTGGCCGATTTATTACTCATAGTCAGCCTCTTTGGTGGTCTTTTGGAATTTAGACGTCGCTTGTGTTTTGGAATTGAAAGCGAATCGCCATGGCTGTAAAAGGAACCTGCTTTGTAGATTTATAACATGATTGGTAGATTTATTCCATGAATGGTAGATTTATAACATGATTGGTAGATTTATTGCAATATTGGTAGATTTATAACATGACTGGTAGATTTATTCCATGAATGGTAGATTTATAACATGATTGGTAGATTTATTGCAGTATTGGTAGATTTATAGCATGATTGGTAGATTTATTATTGTAAAATAGTAGAGTTTAGGTAAAACATGTTCCAGATTTACAAGTACATAAAACAAGGTTTTCAAGCGGATTATTGCAGTCTATAATAGTACAAATACAAGGTTTTCGATTTGTCAACTAAGCTCGACAAGTTAGGCGATTATGTCCGCCTTGGCCACAGTTACCACATTTGGGCTTCCGAGGACGTTTACTCGCCATGGCGGCCTCGAACGCACCCTTAATCCGAATTTTCTTTGGCCTGCCGGGTCGGTTGCGAACATCAGGCGGGAGACAAATTTTGGTTGCTACTTCATCTGGCACAGGGAGTGCTACGTCTCTTGGCATCACACTAACAGCATACGCTTGTTGCAAGTAACTAGTGTGGTAGTAATGATGGCAAAGAGAGATCGGCGACAACTTCCTCCTATCGGCGGCGGCTATGGCATGTACGCAAGGAATTTTATCCAAATCAAACCGTCGACAAGTACATGTTTTCTCCGTTAAATTGACAACATGTGCAGATGTTGTGCCTAAAACCTCTGCACGATGCTGATCAATCTCTTGCACAGGTAAGAGTTTAGCATCTTCAACTCTAGCCTGTCGGCAAGGAATTATTCAGAAGTTATATAAGTCTACCACATAGAAGTAATAACTCTACCAAATAATTTAAAGTCTACTAAATAGCAGAGATAAGTGTGCCAAGTCTACCAAATAATAGAAAGTCTACCTAATAGCAGATACAAGTCTACCAAATAATAGAAAGTCTACAAGGTAAAGTAGTGACTACCTCCAGCAACTTTTCAACGCCCGTTGTTAGAGTGGTAGCCATGTTATTGGCATTCACACGTCTTTTAGCAAACCACCTGGTCAGGAGACTCCTTATATCATCCACTAGTCCTACGATAGGCTTACCTCTTGCAGCAGATAGCACCTTGTTTAATGACTCCGCTATGTTGCTAGTGGTGAAATTGTACCTATCACCTTGGAAGTGTACACGACTCCACATACAAATATCTGCCTTCACCAAGTATGCATGCAGTGCAGGATTTGCCTCTTGAATCTGAGCAAAAAGGGCATTGAACTCGAGAAGTCTATAAGCAGTGGCAGCCTTCTTAACAAGCTTGAATGTTTCAGCGCCTCTGAATTTCACCATAATGTTCTTATGGAGATGATATGTACAAATACCCCGACTAGCAAGAGGATAAACCTTCCCTATAGCATTTCCTATGGATTTATGCCTATCAGAAATAATGGCAAGTCCTTCATCATCAGGAATAACACGGTGTAGTTGTGTAAAAAACCATTCCCAAGACTCATCGTTCTCAGTATCAACAACAGCAAAGGCTACGGGAAAAATGTTGAAGTTTCCATCTTGCGTGGTGGCGAGTAGTAGGGTACCTTTGTATTTTCCATGTAAAAACGTACCGTCGACCACTACCACTTTCCTCATGAAAGGAAACCCCTGTATGCTTGCGCCAAATGAGAGGAACATAAATTTGAATCTATCTTCCTCATCAACTTCTAGCTTGATTAGTGTACCCGGATTTGCTCGCCGAATCATATATAAGTATGAAGGCAGATCTTCATAACCACTTTCAGACGTCCCTGATACTAGTTCTCGAGCATACTTTAGGGCCCGATGTGCTTTCCAATAGTCAACCTTATAATGAGAAATAATATAGTGACGTCTACGAAATAAGATAATAACTATACCACAAAAATTATAACTCTACCATGGTAGATAATAACTCTACCAAATAAAGTATATAAGTCTACCAAATAAATTATATAAGTCTACCAATTGAGCTAATAACTCTACCAAAAATTAAAAAAAGTCTACCAATTGAGCTAATAACTCTACCAAAAAATAAATAGTCTACCAATTGAGCGAATAACTCTACCAAAATAATAAAAGTCTACTCAAAGAGATAATAACTCTACCAAAGAAATAATATAACTCTACCACATACCTTTATACTATATCGTTTGGTCAGAGCTTCGGCGACGTGATTTGGTAAGACTTTTGGGCCAACACCGCCGACGAAGTCCTTATATAGACGGCCTAGAAACCTCATGGGTTGCATGGCGGGTGCGTTGTGATCGCACAGAACCTCATGGGTTGCATGGCGGGTGCGTTGTGATCGCACAGTCACAGAACACGTGTGTTCTCGAGTATAAGTTTTAACCCAAAAACATTTGCTGCTCCCAACAGTTGAAGCGCGAACCCTCTATTTGCAACCATCTACCCAACACTTAACAGTTAGCAATTTCTTACTCGAATGATCGACATTGTAGTCTAATTTGTGAGCAATGGAAAGAATTTTGAGTCGCATCTCGAAGTCCTCTTTTGTTTCATAACGCTGGCCAACGGCTAAGTCTAAAGATGAAAGCTCTAGACTTTGAAAGTCGGGAATTGTAGTCGGTCCCCTTTTCTTCGGTGGTAGATTTAGCGACTCCTCCTCATCTGAACTTTCACCATCTGGACGTTTCTCACGTCTTCCGTACTCTTCGTCATCGGAACTTGCACCATCAGGATCTTCACATCCATCAAATCTGGTTGACAAATCCTCTTCTTCATCATGCATTTCTTCGTCTTGTCCAACTTCGACACCTTCTTGCGGACGATCTTGGCGCACTTGTTCTTCAGGGACTAGACTAGGACATGCATCTCGATCTTCGTCTTCATCAACAACTCCCTTCTGAACTTTTTCTTTGATCTCAACACATAAACGAACCGTTTTGTTTTCGTTCTGGAATTGATGCAAAAAACTCTGCAGCTGTCTTGAATTACCAACAAACACAGGAGGTGTATCCAGAGGTAATTTCCGCCGGACTTCAGACGACAACATATAGCTGAACTGAAGCTCATAAAGATGTTGATCCAACCCAAAATCTTCATATGCGATTTCAACCAAATCGGCAAATGACGTTTTGCGGTCTATCCCTATAAAACTACATCTCCTGGACTGATCTACGATGAAGACCCACCTCGTTTTCTTTAAAACCCAATTACCACAAACCAAAACAACTTGATCCATGAATATAAAAGTGGATAAGAGGCAGAAGATCGAAGTAGAAGGAAAAAATCAAGAGTTATCCCAAGTTTAACAGCTCGACGGCGAAACCTAGAGGTTGAAGATGGACTCTGGTTTTGTTCCGTACTTTAGACAATACATACAGGGCAAAAAAGTAAAATCGCACTGCCCGATAACTAAGTCTACCACATTGATATTGAATCTAACAATTTACAAACAAATCTACCATATAGGTTACTAAGTCTACCATTAATAAAACATATGTACTTGTAATGTTTATAGCTCTACCAACTAAAGTACACTACATTTAAGCAGGTGGAAAACCAGTACAAGTCCGTTTCCTTATGTTTAGTAGATTTATATTAAGTCGAATGGTAGACTTATATTATATTGTTGGTAGATTTGTTGTAAAAGACTTGTCATGTTCCCAATTTCAGTCGAACGAATGGTAGACTTATATTATATTGTTGGTAGATTTGTTGTAAAAGACTTGTCATGTCCCCAATTTCAGTCGAACGAATGGTAGACTTATTATTATTTTTGGTAGATTTGTTATAATTAATAGCTTTCGAAATGAATAACACATAAATCTACTTAACACAACATAAATAACACAACATAACTTCATAAGTCTACTTCATAATAAAAACAAATCTACTTACTCCAATTTCCAGAAGCAGGATTCACAAAGTTGATCCCCATACGTCTCTAGCAGGTATTCATCTCCCATCCATTGCATGTCTGGTACTTTGAGACAACCACAAATCCTTGTAGTTAAAGACTTTTTATAAGCCTCGAAAACCATTTCCACCAGTTCCTCGGGCTTCTGGAAATTGAACGCAGGCATGAAGATCTTTTCCATTGCCAATCTCATTTGCTTTGCATCTTCCCGGGAGAGAGCTTTGACAGAGTTGAATACCTCTGATGTGCCATCCATGGTTAGATGTAACATAGTGTGGCAGTACTTACCCATGAGAAATCCGTTGTCTGATGCCATTCGAATGAGATCACACCCTGCTTGGAGGTTATGTTCGAAGAAAATCAGCGATAAACCTCTTCGCAATTGTGCGGATGGATTTCCTGCCGCCAAGCACCGTCTGAAGAATGCACCGACCCTTCCGTGAACATCCCACCTCCACGGCAACATAATGTTGATTAAATCAACATTCCTAAGAAAACCCGCTTCGTTTGAGATGTTGTTAAGTGTTTTGGACGAAACTTTTGCAAGACAAAGATCCGCATACGAGTTTGAAGATATTTTCAACAATATCTCGTACAAAAGATCAGAAGGAAGCGACTCGAGATTCGCCATAGGGTTTAGAGGGATGGGAAATGAATCGTCTAGGTTTAGGGAATTTATAGAGAACTCACACGAGAACTCGAAGCGACTCGAGTCAATAGAAGTTCTCGAAATCGATGCGACTGTTCGTTGGAAAATGCATAAGTCTACCATATGCGACGGTTCGTTGGTAACGGTTTATGGTTACCGTTACCATAAGTCTACCATATGGAAGAAAATTGCAAGACGTACAACACTGAAACCATAAGTCTACCAAACAGTAGGTTTTTTTGTAGATAGAACAATTCTTTCGGACAAAAAAGTAATTTTACTCCATAAAGTCAAATGTCTGCCAAACATTAAATACTAAGTCTACCTCAACCATGACAAATAACTCTACCATATAAACAAGTCTACCATAAGCATGTCATATGTCTACCAGATCAAGGTTAACTCTGTAAATACCAAACTTAATTAATCTACCACATTGTTATTTCAACAAGTCTACCATACGGCAGATAAGTCTACCAGATTACATAAACTCTACCAAACATACAAACAAATCTACCAACATCTTGTAAGTCTACTTCATGTCATTATTAATCTACCACAAATCAGAATGAAATTGCATAAAAATATAAGTCTACCACAAAACAAATAAATCTACCAACAGTTTTTAAGTCTACCTCATGTAACATATAGTCTACCACTAACCGGAATGAATTTTAACTGAATTAAATCTACTACAAGTCAAACAAATCTACCTCAAAAGCGAAAACTCTACCAATTATATATAACTCTACCATGAAACAGATAAGTCTACCGCACGTATTGACAACTTTTTTCACATAAATCTACCGCTAAAGGAAATAAGTCTACCAACTCAAAAAATAAATCTACTTCATTGTCAATAAAGCTACCGAAAAAGTCAACTATGCGAGAAAGTCAACGTTTTTGTTAACAAGTCTACCAAAACTTTTGACAAGTCTACCATTCATAACAACAAATCTACCGAAACATAATAATTCTACCTCTCATCGTCAAAACTCTACCAAGAAAAGTCTACCAACATTTAAAAACTCTACCAACTCTTGAATAAATCTACCAACGCCCTAATAACTCTACCAACAAAATTTCTGCGTTGACCAAAATTTCATAAGTCTACCACAAAGCTTGGTAGACTTATGAAATTTTTAGCGCCAGAATCTGCCTACGTGGCATTAAAAAAATAATGGCATTTTCGTAATAAGGTTTTTTTCAACAAAGGCCAAAAGGGTGTTTTGGGTATGCTAGGTTAGTTTTGTAAAAAAAATAAAAAAAAACCAGTAATATAGATACTTTCTAAGGTTAGTGTAGTAATCCTCCCTTTATAAAACTAACTATGAATTCAATTTCCAAGATCTTAAGTAAATACTCAATTGAATCTTGGTCATCATATTTAGAATATATCTGCAGCGGAAAGATGAACAAAAAACAAAGTTGTGTAGCACTCTAAACGTCGTGCCTCTACCGGTATCCACACGCACACAAACTAGATCAAGACAAAATGCTAGTGCCGTAGAAATCACAGATCTCAGTGCTTGACAAACTACTTGTCTTTGTATTATGTTTAGAGTTTTTGACGTGAGAGGCTGCTCCAATTAAACAACTCATTATCAATTTATATAATAAGCTTGTGTATTAACCCAATACATGTTTGTTTAATGGGCTAAGCCCAAGTCCCTTAATTAATTTTCTTGCACTTCACGTGTGTGTTTATCACATACTCACCACGTTATATATCATATATACATACGCATTGTAATATTTATTTTATTTATCATATAGATAAACTATATGTTATATCTTATATAACATATTATTCTTAAAACCCAACATATTATTAATCTAGTCTGCTTAGGTGTGTGACCCTGTAGGATCGTATAACATTAGCAACAGATTCATAATCCGTAGATTATAAGTGGTTTCTAGCCAAACATTATAATCACCTAATATTATACGATTGTCAAATCTTGACGTTACAACTTTAACTAGAAAAGTACGGATGATTTCGAGACATTCCCAACAGCTACACCTCTCCCAAAAAACTTCAAAAAACTTTGTGCTTATATGCTACACGTATCAAAGGCTTTGATTTAACTTTGTTTTTTTTAGAATGTATTCTTGATCTATCTGTGTTATTTGATTTCATCTATGCACTGCAGCGGAAACCATCAAATTTAATTGAGATGTTTGTTGTGCAATGTGGAACGTGCAGAAAGTATAGGCTCGTTCAATCCCAAGAACAATACGATATAATCAGAAGAAAGGCATTGTGAAAGTCTTTTAAATGCAAGAACAGCTGTGGAAAGCTTGAAGATGTTGATGTGGAAGCTGGTACTACGAGGGTATGGTTAGAAGACCATCTCCACGGTTTACCCTAAACCCGACAAAGATTCAAGAGGATCGTGTGTTCTCAGATAAAACTGCAGGAGAACCATTGTTTGTTACGTTACTCCTTAGGTAAAAAGGCTATAAGGAGTTGCAGGGAAGTTGATGATTTTATCAAGACAATGAACTAGAGGTCTCCAAATCAAAGCTCAGACCTTTTATTTTCTCTTAAATTATATTTCAATAAAGATTATAATCCTTATCCGAATGCTATGAAAAGGTTTCATAACATCAATGTCTCCTTAAACCATGATGACGGGCTACCACTTTGACGACATGCAAAACAGGAGCAAGTCAAAGGAGTGTCATTTCAGATTTACCTGTTAATGAG